CTCTGTAGTTCTGGGTTCAGTTCTTTTGACATTGTTCTGTTCCATGTTCCAAAGTACTACAATAGCATCTGTAAAATGTTGATATGTAAAATATGGTACTACTCATAAAAAATTAAGACCGATATAAACAATTGTAGAAATATAAATTGCTTATGAGGAAGCTGAGACAATATAATAAAAATGACAATCCTACCGAATTTAATTTAATAATTTAGTGCCATACCAATCAAAACACCACAGAAGGATTTGGTAGAGCTAGAAAAAGTAGTAACAAAATTCTTCTAGAAAACAAAAGGTCAAGAATCTCAAAGGGCCCAATATCAAAAGCGAAGAACAATGGCCTAGAAGATTTCAAACTATATTACAAAGCAGTAAACATCAAAACAATCTGGTATCAGCTAAAAAATAGAGTGGTGGATCAGTGGGATAGATTAGGTACCCAATACATAGTAGTAAATGAACACAGTAATCGAATGTTTGATAAACCCAACGATCCAAGCTTTTTAGACAAGAATTTACTGTTTGACAAAAAATTTTGGGGCAGCTAGGTGGTGCCCTGGAGTCAGGAGGACCTGAGTTCAAATCTGACCTCAGACACGTAACACCCATTAGCTGTCAGTGTACAAGGCTCTCCTGGTTCTTGGTAGCCATTTACTGAGCTAAGGATTGGAAGTTAATAGCAAAATAGTCCCTGTCCTGAGGAGAAGTATTCCATGGGGAGGAATCTACACATGAATAGTGCTGAGAAGGAGTAATACCATTTAGGGACAAATGGTAAGTTATAGATCTTACAACTGAGATCTGGGCAAGTCACTTAACCCCATTGCCTAGCCCACCCCCAAAAAAAATTCTGGGAAAATTCAACAGTAGTTTGGGAGAAAGCAGGCATAGACCAACATTTCACATTGCATACCAAAATAAGGTCAAAATGGGCACATGTTTTAGACATAAAGGATGACATCTTAAGCAAATTAGGGGAGCACTAAAAGAAATTACAGATCAGATGTATGGATAAACAAATCGTTTGTGAGCAAACAAGAGATAAGATCACGGGAGTTAAAATATATTGTTTTGATTACATGAAATTTGTTTTTTAAAATAAACAATACTATATACTCAAAATTAAATTGAAAGTAATAAATTGGGAAAAATTGTAGCAAGTTTCTCTGATAAAAATCTCATTTCTTAGATATACAGGGAACTGAGTCAAATTTATGAAAATAAGAGCATTTCTCTAATTGTTAAACAGCCAAAGAACATTAACAGGCAGTTTTCAGAAGAAATCAAAGTTTTCAATACTAATAGGGAAAATGATCCAATCAGTAATAAGAGAAATGTATATTAAAACAACTCTGAACTACCACCTCAAACCTATCAAATTGACTAATATAAAAGAAAAAAAAGGTCAAATGTTGGAGAGGATGTGGAAAAATAGATACATTAAAACGCTGTTGGTGGAATTGTGAACTTTTCCAACGATTCTGGAGAACAACTTAGAATTACGCTATTATAGTTTTAGGCTTGGTGGTCTTTAGTCTCCCTTAAGGAGAGACTGCAGTTTATAGAATCTGGGCATGGAAAGCCGTGGCAATAATATTTTTCAGATTAATACAGCTGTGTGCCTGAAAATAATCAGAAAGTTGCCTTGGAGCATACCTTCCTGTCCAGGGGTAACACACCTTCCCATGGGAGTAATCCCTCTGTACTGAAGGAACTCGTGTCTCTCTGCTCCCCAACACAGCACCAAACACATGTGAGGTTTCTTCTATGTTTATGTGTATTTTTTGAACTGTATTTAGTGTATCCTTCTTTCCTCCCTTCCACCTGTCCCAGTCTTCCTAATCACTTGTCAGTGAAACTTAGAATTAAATTGATCTCCGTTGTTTGACATATTATTCTTGTCATTTAAACTTAGCAGGAATTTATTTTTTTTTCTGACAAATGGGTCCACTAAGCTCTCTATATTCATAAATTCATTATATGTGCAAGGCCTTAATCTATTGACAGCTGTACCTGCACTGCAAAAAGATATAATTCCACTTGTGGAAAACCAGTAGGGGAACCCTTTGTCTTCCTAGGAGTGACCCTGTCATTCCAGAAGAATGGCACAAAGCACATGCTCAAGAAATTATAAAACTGTACATATCCAATAATGATGCGAACGGTTCCAGAAAAACCTGGTAAATATTTATACGGACTGATGCAAATTGAACGGGGTAGAATCAGAATAAAATTGTATACACTAACAGCCACTTTGTCACAACAAAGAACTGTGAAAGACTTAGGTACTCTGATCAATACAATGATCCAGGACAATTCCAAAAGACTCATAATGAAAAATACTGTCCTACTCCAGGGAGAGGAATGATGAATAAAATACAGGTTGAAGAATATTCTTTTTTTCTCTTTATTTGTCATGCTTTTTTATTTTTGCAACATGGCTGATATGGAAATATGTTTTGCATAACTTCACATTTTTAAAGGGTGTCTTATGGCTTGCTTTTTCCATGGGTGGAGGAAGAGGCTAGAAAGAGGAAGAGAATTGGAGCCCAATATAAAAAAAAATAATAATTCTTTAAAAAAATAAAATTATGGGCTTTTTTTCAAAAAAAATGTTGGGGAAATTAAGAAAGATGATAAATGAGCATATATTAAATATCTATTATCAGCCAGCCTCTGTGCTAACCATATTACAAATAATATCTCATTTGAACCTAACAATAATCCTAACAGGAAGTGATTTTATCTCCATTTGAAAGTTTAAGAAACTGAGGCAGATGAAAATTAAGTTGCTTTCCCAGGGTCACAATCCTCCTAAGTGTTTGAAACAACTTTTGAACTCAGTTGTTTCTGACTCCAGGCCCAGAGACATATCCACTGGGCTACTTAGGTACCTGACAGAAATTTCATTTGATCGTTACAAAAATCCTGGCATGTAGATGCTATCATTGGTCCCATTTAACCAAAAGGAAAAATTGAAGGATGTTAAGTTACTTATCAAAAGTCAAAGAGCTAGTGTATGAGGATAGATTGGAAATCACTTCTTAACTACACACCCAGTACTCCATTCACTGCACTGCCTAGCTACTTCTAAAAGACACCATACTTAACCAAAGGCAATCCAGCCTGTTTGCTTCCCCCGCATTATTTTGGGTGCCCAACACTAATTTCATTGTACTCATCAGTTCTAGAGATGCCTCTTCCTCCACCCATGGAAAAAGCAAGCCATAAGACACCCAACCTCTTCATCCAGTCCATCTCCCATTCTGTCATATTCTGGGTACTAGACGTTCTTCATCTGCTTAGCTTTTAGTGCGTGGATTATTAAAATAACCTGGTTTCTTGGCCACAGACCTCTCATACAAGTATGTGCAATGTCATTGCACTTGATGTAACAGTGACACATAACACACACATGAAAGCCTGGAATATGTTAGGGATTTAATAAAGGCTTCATGAAACTAGGTAGACCAGTGAACTTTGTCACCTGTTACTCTCTAGGCAGTTTATGGGATGTGATCATATAAAATCCATTAAACATCTCCAGTGCTTTGGGGACATGATCTCATGGGGACTGAGAAAACCATAAAGTCTGACTCTAGCAGCTGGCAATACATATAACACAGCCAAAGTGCACATGATTCTATCTTCCAGATGTGCAGGTAACATTATTATTTTTGGTCTTCTAGTATAGAATGTATCAAAAATCATATGAGGTCCAAGCAGCTTAGTTCAAAAAGTCTATCAGTAGGCTGCACAGTATAGGAGTGAATGTGACCTTGCGATGAATTCACTCAAATTGAATGACATGAAATCATTCTAGCAAGGTTACAGAATACAGGTATGAGCTCTGACCAATGTCACATATTATTTTCTGCTACCAGAAAAATCAAATAGCTTTTGTCAAGCATATCGATCACTAATAATACATGGGATACCAATGATCTTTGATGTCAATGCTATGCAGCTGGATATAATCTGAAGAACAAGAAAAATTAAAAGTCTTTTCAAATATCTGGGAATGAAAGACACTAAAAACACCAAATTTGTAAGCTTAGATAATTTTTATAGTCCAGGAGGCAAAACGTTTTCTCTCTGATCAGGTAAAGTGAAAAAGAGCCTACTGAGAGTGAACATATCTATTGCATTTTGCTGAATGTCATAGAATTGAAAACAGCAAATGAGATTGGAATAGGAACTGGATTTTTAGCTTCAATGGTTTAGGGAACTCCTAAAAAAGAAATTCCTTCTCTCAACATTGGTCATTACTTCGTCCAAAACCTTTAGTCATAGACATGTACTATCAGGAGGTCACATGACTACCATGGGTCATACAGAAATGTGCCAGATATGGTTGTAGAACCTAATTCTATTTGGCTTCAAGGTCAACTTGTAACCTCTGTCGTTCAATGGTGTTCATCTCTTCATAACCCTGTGGACCACACTGATACCTACTTCACCACAATTCATCCATAATGTATTCTCACCTATTCTAGCCTCTTTCAGTATCCTATTAATGATAATTCTACATGATCAAAATTATTTTTAATAAAATTTATTTCAATTGTTTTAAAGATAAAATACTTTAAAAGCCATTCATGATATTATCCTGTTCCATCTCTTTGGGTTAAGGAGCTTCATAATTCAACTTACATTTTGTAAAATAAAGGCACAAAGACTTCCCTCTTTATGACAGGTTGATACAGTCTTATACAATATGACATGACATGATATGAGATGACATGACATGACATGACATGACATGATATGATATACGTTATGAGATGACATATGATATGATATGATATGATATGATATGATATGATATGATATGATATGATATGATATGATATGATATGATAAATATGGTGTAACTGGGTTGGAAAACTATGGGTCACTTTCTCTAAAACATTTTATCTACTAACTCTTCAATTGACTATGCAAATAGGACTCAAAGAAGGCTTCTTCTTTTATTCTCAGAATATCATCCTTAGGTGGAAGAAATGATCAAGTTGAATGGAACGACTGAGAACCAGGTGACTGAATTCCTTCTCATTGGCATCACAGACCGCCCTGAGCTACAGGGCCCCCTTTTCATTGTATTTTTCCTCAACTACGTGGCCATAGCTCTGGGGAACTTGGGCCTCATTATCCTAACCAGCGTTGATTCCCACCTCCAAACTCCCATGTACTTTTTTTCTCAGGCACCTGACATGTTTTGATCTTGGCTATTCTACAGCAATTGGTCCAAAAATGCTGGTCAGTTTCATAGGGGAGAAAAATACAATTTCTTACAAGGGGTGTGTGATACAAATATTTTTCATTGGGATACTTATAACCTGTGAATTTTTTATCCTGTCAGCCATGGCCTATGACCGCTATGTGGCTATCTGTAAGCCCCTCCTGTATACGGTCATCATGTCAGACAGGGTATGTTGGGTCTTGCTAGCTATCTCATACCTCCATAGCATTATGGTTTCCCTCCTCATAACAATAAAGATTTTTAACTTGTCATTCTGTGAATCTAATATAATCCGGCATTTTTACTGTGACAGTCTCCCTTTATTGTCCATTATATGTTCAGACACAAATGAGACTGAACTCATCAGTATGATTCTTTCTGCATTTAATTTGATTTCTTCTCTCTTGATTATCCTTGCCTCCTATATGATTATTCTTGTGACCATCCTCAGGATTAACTCTGCTGAAAGTAGGCAGAAAGCCTTCTCCACCTGTGGCTCCCATCTCACGGTAGTAACTGTGTTTTATGGAACACTTCTCTTCACGTACCTGCAACCCCAATCAAGCCACTCTTTGGACACAGACAAAATAGCCTCTGTGTTTTACACTCTGGTAATGCCCATGCTCAACCCTTTGATCTATAGCTTGAGGAACAAAGAGGTGAAAGGAGCCTTGAAAAGACTCTTTAAACAATTGATGTAAATATTCCATTAAATGTCTAATGTAGAGTATGATTCCATTGCATTATGAGAAGCAAGGAAACTTCAGCTTTATGTCTTAGACAACTTCCTCCAATTCTCTTTTTTGCAGGAAAAAAAAATCTCTACTAACATTTACTGAAAGATTTTTGTTTGCTACTTTTTTAAATTTTCAACGTCCAGTAAATCTTAGTTTAGTGAATCTTTTTTTTTTTTAAAGAGGCCTTTTAGGGCATTTAACAACCAATTATCTTTATAAAAACAGCCTGTGTTATCATGTAAAGTTTTCTTGTGTGGGAGAATAAATCAATAAACAAGTATTCGGAGAATGCTGTTGCCAAGTACTGTGCTAGCCTTAGACATACACAGATAAACAAAAAGCGATTCTTGTCATCAATGAAATTACAATTTATTAAGGGAAACAACATATCCATGAAAACCACACTATGCACCACAGCAGCCAATCTACTTTTGAATGTCTCTAACTCTGAAGAATTTTGTCCTTATTATTGCCTGAATTTCTCTTCAGTGATTTCCAACCATTGCTTCTGATCTTCTCTGTGACCAAACAGCACAAATGTGTTATTCCTTCTTTGTCATATTGATTCAAATCCACATCTCATGTGTCTATATCTTCACTATTGTTGCCTCCCTCTGTTCACCCTGTAGTTTAATGATGTCCATTCTGAACTCTGTTACCCCAAATTGAACACAATTCTCCAGATATAGCCTGGCCAGAGCAACATACAACAGGATTGTCACATCCTATGATTGGATGTCATGTTGTCTTAATGGAAATCAATTCAATCAATGGAAATCAAATTAATGGCTTCTTTAGTTGATATATAATAACCTAGACTCATACTGAAGTTGGAATTCTCTGATAACGCCAGATTCCTTTAAGAGGAATGACTAAAATTCCATGTATTTTCTGTTGTTCACTTGGAAGGGTTTTTTTTTAACCCAAATGGAACATAAAATTTTGCATATTTCCCAATAAAATTCCTTTGTGTTATTAATCTCATCTTACTGCATACCAGGTTTAGGAACTACTAGAATATTTTTTTTTAGGCAATTGGGGTTAAGTGACTTGCCCAGGGTCACACTCAGGTCCTCCTGACTGTACTGGCCGGTATTCTATCCTTTGCACCACCTAGCTGCCCCAGGAAGAAAATTCTTGACTTGTATGTGGAAAGAGCCTATAGGTAGGACTTCACTGCAGTATTACTGACTGACTGCATAATAAAGTGCCTGCTTGATAGATTTCATTATTTTGATTTTCCTTCCACTCTCCACCTCAGGAAGAAGACATGTTGTTCTGTATTAGTCAGCATCACAAACTCTTCTTTTTTTTTTGTCAATGAGAAAGGACTTGGGGAGGATTTTTAAGTAGGTGCCCAAGGAAGGGAATTGGAAATACTGGCTTGGATATATGAGTCATGATGTGGGAAGACACTGTGGTATTGCCTAGTAATTTGGTTTAATATGTGTTAAAAAATGAAGCATGTAATTGTCTTTTTCTAAGCAGTCTACCTTTCTTCAGGAACACTGCTCCACTGAAATCTTGCACAAAAAATTTCCCTTCATCTAATGCAGAATAGAATGGTTTCATTCAAAATGTTTCATCATTACAATATTTGAAAATATGGACTTTTAATAATAACCTCAATGATTCTGCAGCTTCATTTTAATTTCTATTGAAAAAACTAGCTAAACAACTCTGCTCCCCAACAGTAACCCATCTCCAGCTGTCCTCAGACTGTTTATGAATGAAAACAGCTGCAGAGAATAACCTCTCCCAATACTATCCTTACAGTGGCAAGGGGGATTTAGAGGATGTTTTGTTTTGTTTTCTTTATCTCAATTCTTCAGTGCTTCCTTTTCAATAGATTATTTCAGAAGATTAAGTGTAATATCAAAGTACTTTGATTATATATATTTTATAATAGGACTAGCAGAAAAAATTTGAAAAAATAGTTGACATTTGTAGATAGAGTTCATAAATATTACCTTATTAAAGCTTCACAACAACTTCTGAAGTAGATACAATAGATATTTTAAACTCCATTTTATAGATGGAGGAGCAGAGGCTAAAAAAGTTTATATTACATGCTGAGACTATCTGCCTTAGAAGTGTCAAAGGTAAGGTCGGAATGAATTCTTCCTGATTATAAATATGATACTCTGTACTTTATCTCCTACTTTGGGAAAATGAACTTTGGGAAATCTGGTTCCTCAAAGTAATCATTATTATTATCACACTCACCAGCATCCTTCATCATCATTAATAATATACCTCCTTCTCCTCCTCTTTCTTCTTAAAAACATCATCATCACCGTCATTATCAAATACCTGTTTCTTTAATTTTCACTACTATGTCGATCGGCTAGATCGTTCACTGTGGTATATGCACAGAAATATCAGGCTTAGTGTCATATTACCTTTAAGGTATTCCTAAAAGTGTTAGTGAAAAGAAAAAAAAATTGAATGTATTGCTGAGAAAATTTTGAATCTAAAATCAGAAAAATAGAAACCAAAGATACTCAAGAGTTTGCAAGACTACATTAAGAGTGTGATAGGAAGAAAAGAGGATAGAGTACATGACTGACCCCTAACTTTTCCAGGCAGTCGAAAGCATCATACTAATTGGCTCAGTGGATAGAACACTGGGCTTGAAATCAAGAAGACTCATCTTCCTGAGTTAAAATCTGGTCTCAGATAATTATTAACTGTATGACACTGGGCAAGTCAATTAAAGCTATTTGCCTCAGTTCTTCAATTGTAAAACAAGCTGGAGAAATAAATGACAGATCATTTCAGTATCTTTGCAAACTCAAATGGGGTAATAAAGAGTCTGACATTACTGATACATCTGAAAAACAAACAGCAACTGATTAAAGAATACGAAAGTAAGATCACCAGAAAATTCCACATAGGAAAGAATCATAAAAAATTGAATTTGGTACTCATGTGTTAAATAAAGCTAATAATAATAATAATAATAATAATAATAACAATAATAATAATAATTTAAAAAAAATTGGGCCAAGATGGCAGAGTGAAAAGGTAGTCTCTCTCACCTTCCCCTATCAACCTCTGAGAACCCAGAAAATATCACCTTAGAGCAACTGAACTAGAAGAAAGACAGGGAACAGCAAAGCAGAAGCCAGCAAACCGGTCTCCTCAGCAAAAATATAAGGGAAGCAGCACTACAAAGGGCCCCAGGCAGATAAGCACCCTGCAGCATTCATCTGAAAGGAGCTGAAGAAAACAAACTAGAGTCTTCCTAAAGTCCCAGCCTTGCTGATTCCAACCCAACGACTCCAACTGTCAACCAGGTGGAGATCCTGAAGCCCACGTGGTAGAGCAGGCAAACACCAACACCTGGATCTCCTAAGTGCCTCAGTGAGAGCAGGTGAACCGGTGGAAACCAGCTCAGAAAACCACCAGCTGCCTTGGCACTCTACCACAAAGGAATCTCCCAGTACGTTAGCAGAAACAAGGGAGGCAGCATTTCAAGGGGCCGCAGGCAGATAAACACCCTGCAGCACCCATCTAAAAGGAGCTGAAGAAAGCTAAAGGAAAGGAAAAGCAGGCAACCTAGAATTGCCTGAAAGTTCCAGCCTTGCTGATTCTAGCCCAACATGAGGTAAGCTGCCAAAACCCTACAGCTTCCAAATGCCAACATAACAGGGGGCCGAGCACACAAAGCCAGTAACCAAAACCTAGGCTCCCAACACAAGAAGCTTGGGTCAGTGCTCTCTGTTCCCCAGTAGGAGACTTCAATCTCTTTAAAAGCCAGGGAATAAAGAACCCATGAGTAAAAAGAAGCTTACCACAGATTCACATTATGAGAAGAGTGAAGATCCAGACAGAAATTCTGAAGAGGACAACATTGTCAACAAACCCACATCTGCAACATCAAAAGAGAATATGAACTCGTCTGAAGCCCAAAAAGCCTTCTTTAAAGAGCTCAAGAAGGATTTTAAACATCTAATGAGAGAGGTATCAGAGTTGTTAAAAAATACAATTGGCCAATTGGAAAAAAAGTACACTGAAGAAAACAAGTCCCTAAAAAACACAATTGGCAAACTGGAAAAAAAGTACACTGAAGAAAACAAATCTCTTAAAAATACAATTGGCCAATTGGAGAAGGAAGTACAAAAACTAACAGAAGAAAACAATCTGTTAAAAATTAGAATCGGACAAATGGAAACTAATGATTCTATGAGAGAGCAAGAATCAGTCAAACAGAAACAAAAAAATGAAAAAATGGATGAAAACTTAAAGTACCTCATTGGCAAAACAAACAACCTGGGAAATCAATCCATGGGAGACAATTTAAAAATCATTGGACTACCTGAAAATCATGATGAAAAAAACAGCCTGGACAGTATCTTTCAGGAAATCATAAAGGAAAACTGCCCTGAAGTCCAGAACCAGAAGGTAAAATAACTATAGAAAGAATCCACTGTTCACCACCTGGAAGAGATCCCAAATTGACAAGGCCAAGGAATATAATAGCAAAATTCCAAAATTACCAGATGAAAGAGAAGGTGCTGCAAGCAGCCAGAAAGAAACAATTTAAATGTCATGGAACCACAGTCAGGATTACACAGGACCTTTGCAGCTTCTACATTAAAAGACAACAGGCCGTGGAACATGATATTTCATAAGGCAAAGGACTGCAGCCAAGGATCAACTACCCAGCAAAAAATGAGTATGATTTTTCAAGGGAGAAGATGAATATTCAAAGAAATAAGGGACTTCTAAACCTTCCTCACTAAAAGACCAGAGCTCAACAAAAAATTTGATCTTCAATTCCAAGATTCAAGAAAGATATAAAAAGGTGAATGGGACAGAAAGATACAAAATGTTGTTAATAAGGGCAGACTGTTTACAACCCTGAAAGGGAAGATGACAAGCAACTCTTGAGAACTGTATTGTTATTACACCATGTTAAAGGAGTATACCTAAAGGGGGTGGATATTAGTTGACTTTGA